CCCGCGGGAAGGCAACAGCGAGGTGCGCGCCAGGCCGCGGACGAGGCCAAGCGCACGCCCGCCGAGAAGGCGGCGGTCAAGCACGCTCTGCACGAGACGATGGACCTGTGGTGCGCCCACCAGGCCACCGCCGTCGTCCTGCTGACCCAGCACCCCCTCCTCCTCCTCCTCCGCCTCCTCCTCCTCCTCCTCCTCCTCCTCCTCCTCCTCCTCCCTCGTCACTCCCCTCGGCTCGGCTGTCGTTCAGGCTCAGGAGCCGCAGGGCGGGCATGGAGGGCAGCGCCCCGGCCGGGGCCTATAGGCGCCCGCGGGGCTGATCTTGCAGACGTTCGGGTTCGGGTGTTTCAGGCTTCCGCGCGCCGAGCCCCGCGGCCTGCCGGGGGTCGGTGGCGGCATCCCTTGGAAATCGAGCCCCGTCGCGCCGCCCAGCTGCGCGCGGCTCATCTGGCGGAAGATCACCGTCAGCGCCTCCCGGTCCGCATCACTGGTGAAGGTAGTGCTCTCGATGAGCTGGTCAAACTCCTCAGGGCCCACTGGCCACCCCCTTCCAACTGCTGCCGCCCCTGATCCTTGCCCCAGGTCGGCCACCGCGAACCAATTTGCATTATCGCGAGGCGTCCGCCTGATCTGCTCTGCGGAGCACCGCTCGTACGTGGTCCAGCCCGCGCTGCCCTCCGTGCCCCGCCTGCAAAAGGCCGGACCTGGATATCAGCGGCATCGGCGGCGGCGGGGCGGAGGCGCTGGCCCGGGCGCTGCCCTCCCTCGCTGTAGCCTTGCGGTACCTGGAAGTGCACCCGCCCGACGACGCCCTCGGCGACGCGGGCCTCCAGGCGCTCGCACTCTCTGGGCGCGCGCGGGGGCGCCTGGCGCGGCCCGAGCGGGTCCTTTGTACAGCTCTGAGCCGGAGGCGCCCGCCCCGGGGGAGTGGGACAATTTTGGAGGTGCCGGAATGAACTTTCCGGCTGCCCACCGGGGAGTCGGGGAGTCGGGGAGTCGGGGAGTGGGGGAGTCGGGGAATCGGGGAGTCGTGGAGTCGGGGTGCTGGGGAGTCGGGGAGTCGGAAAGTTCATCCCGGCGCTGCAAGAATTGTCCTGCTCACCCGGGGGGGGTGCGGGTGCCAGGCGGGCACGGCCCTCTAGAGACCGTTGGTGTTCCCGTCTTCCTCTCCAGCCTGGGGGTGCGGGCGCGCCCATGGGCGGGGTGTCGCACCCGCCGCCGCCGCGTGGGCGGCAGCGGCGTCCCGCCACGTATCACGTGCGTGTGTGGCCCCCGCGCCGCAGCTGGTGCCCCTCCTCGGCGCTCCCCCCGCCGCAGCCGGTGACTTGCCTCAGGGGGCCCGGCATCCCCTCCTCCCGTCGCGCTGGGGTCTCCTCCCCTCCCCACGTGCACCGCGGCCCAGTCTGCATCTGGTGCGCCCCCCTGATGCCCGATCGCCGGAGCAGTCACCCTCTGCCCAGCCGCCGACGCAAAAAGTGCTGTTTTCCGCCGGCGCAGTCGCTCTTCCTAGCCGCCAGCGCAAACATGTGTGTGTGTGTATATATATATATATATATGTGTGTGTGTGTGTGTGTGTTGGTGCTGGGCGTTCCGCCCCGCCTTGCCCGGGAATTCGCGGTTGGCCGCCGAGCGCTCGAGCCGCCGCACACCGTCCGCGCATTGCCTGTTCTGCGCAGGACTTCAAACGCTGGTGTTTCTTATGCTTTTTGTTTGGAGCCCGTGCTTCAAATGGTGCTCCCACCTCCTTTTTTCGATTGCGCATGACACGATGCGTTTCTCTTTGGAGTTCCAGGTCCGCTATGACACGCGTCGGCGGACAAAGAAGCAACATCGCGATGGGAAGGGATGGGTGGCAGGGGTCGGCTGCCAGACATGGCGCCAGCGCGCCTAGCTTGCCTCTCTCCTCTCTCTCCTCTGTCCTCGTTCCTCCTCTCCTCTTTCTGTTCCCCGTTGTTGTTCACCTCCTGCTTTTCTTGGGTGCTGCTTGTTGCGTGTTCTCTTTTGTTGTTGTGCGGTCGAGCATCTGATGAAGACACCTCCCCCTGAACAGCTGGGCCAGCGTTTCTTGGCCAACTTGCCAGAAAGCTGGCTCAGTTTCTTCAGCGCGTTCGCCCCTCCAGCGTTGACACAATAACTTGGCCGGGCTTGTTTTGAGACATTTCTGGGATGCTGGCCTAGGTTTCTTAAGTTCTGATTTTCTGGATCATGTTATCGGCTGTGTTTTTTTCTCTGTTTGTTCCCTCTCTCTCTTCATGTACCTCTCTTGTGATTATTTGGGGACCTCCATGGGGCCTCTTGGAATGGCACGGTCCCTCCTCGGCCGACGCTGTGTCTCCGCCTTGCTCTCGTCGTCCTCCTCTTCCTTCTGCCCCCCCCCTCCTCCAGCGCCTCCTACTTCTCCTTCCTCTGCCCCGCCGTCTCGTTCCCATCCACCTCCCTCATCCCACGCCCCTCTTTCCTCGTTTCCCTCTCTCCTCCTCGTGGGGGCCGCAAGAGCCTCCGTGGCAGCCACTACTTAGGGTCAAAACTTTGGGCTAGGACCACCCCTGTCAGCACCAAAGCTCAGGGAGCGAAAGACACTTTCATCGCCGCCGGAATCTCTCTCGGTGCCGCTGCTGCGGCTGGCTGGCGGCGCAGGTGCTCACTACTGCGGCAAGCTCGTGTACGCCCTGGGTGCACTGGTGAGGATCCCGCCCCTTGCCTCTGCGATGGCCGTGCAGCCTCCGAGCGGGGGTCCCTGCTTTCGGTCGGCCCTCGTCTGCCCTCTCCGCTGGGCCCTGCTCTTCGCGTGCCCCGTGCGGTGGTGGCCCCGCCCCGCGCCCCCCGCAGGAATAGCGCCGCCACCCAGGCCGCGGCGGACGAGCTCGGCGTCCTGGAGTGGTTCTGCCGCCCGCCCGCCCGCCCTCGGGGCGCCGCGGCCCTCGCCGCCGCCGCCGCCAACGACGACGACGACGACGTCGTCGTCGTCGTCCTCCTCCTCCTCCACCACCTCCACCTCCTCCTGCTCCTCCTCCTCTTCCTCCTCCTCCTCCTCCTCCTCCTCTGTTCTGCTCTTCTTCCCCATTATCCTCCTCGTCCTCCTCCCTCGTCTTCCTCTTCCTCCTCCTGCTTCCCTTCTGCCCCCCTTCTGCGCTTCCTCCTCCTCCTTCTCCTCCTCCATCTGATCGGCCTGCCTCGTCTGAGCGACGCAGCTCGACCAGCTCTGCGGCGTGGTCTGCCTGCCCGAGGGCTCTCGCTGGGCTACATAATGCCAGCCGCGCAATAATTCGAGTCCAGGCCTTTGGCCACTGTCCGCCTCCTCCTCCTCCTCGCTCGCTCGCTCGCTCGCTCGCTCGCACGGTCGACGGATGCACCAATGCCAGGGGAGTAACATCGAATAATGAGGAGGAGGAGGAGGAGGAGGAGGAGGAAGGAGGAGGAGGGAGGAGGAGGAGGAGGGAGGAGGAGGAGCAGGAGGAGGAGGAGGAGGAGGGAGAGGAGGAGGAGGAGGAGGAGAGAGGAGGAGAAGAAGGAGCAGAGGAGGAGCAGAGCAGGAGCAGGAGCAGGAGGAGGGGAGGAGGAGGAGGAGGCGGAGGAGGAGGAGGATGAGGAGGAGGAGGAGGAGACCGAGGACGAGGAGGAAGGCGGATGAGGAGGAGGAGGAGGAGGAGGAGAGGAGGAGGAGGAGGAGGAAGAGGAGGAAGAAGAAGGAGCAGGCGGAGAACAGGAGGAAGAGCAGGAGGAGAGCAGAGGAGAAGCAGGAGGAGAAGCAGGAGGAGGGGAGGAGGAGGAGGAGAGGAGGAGGAGTGAGGAGAAGGAGAAGAAGAAAAAAAGAAGAAGAATAAGCATACTAAGACGAAGAGAGGAGGAGGAAGGAGGAGGAGAGGAGGCAGGAGAAAGGAGCAGGAGAGGAGAGGAGGAGGAGCAGGAGGAGACGCAAGGACGAGGAAGGAGGAAGAGGAGAGAAGGAGCAGGGGAGGAGAAGGAGGAGGAGGAGGAGGAGGAGGAGGAGGAGGAAGAGGAGGAGGAGGAGGAGGAGGAGGAGGAGGAGGAGGCGGAAGAGGAGGAGGAGGAAGAGGAGGAGGAGGAGGAGGAGGAAGGAGGAAGCAGGAGAGGGTAGGAGGAGGAGGAGGAGGAGGATAATGAGGATGAGGAAGCGGAGGGAAGCAGGAGCAGGAGGAGGAGGAGGGAAGGAGGAGGAGGAGGAGGAGCGAGGAGGAGGAGGAGGAGGAGGAGGAGAAGAGGAAGGAGGAGAGGAGGAGGAGGAGGAGGAGTGAGGGGAGGAGGAGGAGGAGGAGGAGGAGGAGGAGGAGAGACAGGGAGGATCGAGGAATAACACATAAGGCGGAGGAGAGGGAGGAGGAGGAGCAGGAGGAGGAGGAGGAGGATCGGGAATGAGGAGGATGAGGAATGAGGAGGAGGAGGCGGAGGAGGAGGAAGAGGAGGAGGAGGAGGAGGAGGAGGAGGAGGAGGAGGATCGGCGGATCGGGGGATACAATAATAAGGGGAGATAGCGAGCGGAAGACGTGGGGAGGACGAGGGAGAAGGATTGAGGATGGAGGGTCGAGGATCGATGGGGAGCGAGGATCGAGAATCGAAGAGGGATGATGATGATGAGGATGATGATGATGCTGATGATGATGATGATGACGAGGAGGAGGAGGAGGAGGAGGAGGGAGGAGGAGGAGGAGGGGGAGGAGGAGGAGGAGGAGGAGGAGGAGGAGGAGGAGTACGGGAGGAGCAGGAGCAGGAGGAGAAGGAGTCAATCGTTATCCTATGCCCTCCTCCTCATCCCTCCTCCTGCTCCCCCTCCTTTTTGCTTTGCACGGGCTATGACCAACAATTCGCAATGTCTGTGTGGAAAATGCCGCCGACTGAGGCGACAGGGCCTCGGTACAAGAAGAGAAGCATGCAACACGTCCTCCTTTTTCTCCTTCTACTCCTCCCCGCGTGCGAGCGCTCCCCTTCCGTGGGATAGGAGGGATGGGGGGATGGGGGGTGGGAGGATGAGTAGTAGGTTTCGGGGAGGTTTGAGGAGCCTCTCGAGCGATCTATTATCGATTACCTATTTCTGCCTCCCGTTGCAATCTGGGCCCAATAGCGCTGCGAGTACACATTGCGCAGAAGGTCCCAGTGTCTGTCCCGCAGAAACGTAGCGCCATGGCGTCTTTGAGCACAATTGCAATGTCGCTGCTGGCTTTGGGGATGCTGCCAGCGGCGTCGTCGGAGGCCTCCCTCCGCGTGCACGCTGCCATGGGCAAGGAGGAGCCGCACCCCCCGCCCGAGCCGACGGTGCCGGAGATCCAGGGCTTACAACGTACCGCCGCCCACACCTTCTCATTCTTCCAGCTCCCCGTTCTCTGCAGTTTTCCTCCACATGAGTTTGCATGGTTGTGCTGGTGGGGAGTGTGTGTGTGTGTGTGTGTGCGTGTGTGCGCTGACACACTGGTGTGCTGACACACAAGTGTGCCGACACACCGGTGTGCTTTTCGGCCCGCCTTCCGCCTTTCTTGCCTTGGCCCTGGCCCTCGGCTCCTCCTTCTTCCCTCGCCTCTCCGCTCCCCCTCTCCCTGCCCGTGTCCCCCCTTGCCCTTGTGCTTCCTTGTCCTTGTGCGGTGTGTGTTCTCCCTCTCCCTTCTGCTTGGCTCCCCCTCCCTGTCCCCCGTCCGTCCGTCTGTCGGCCCGGTCTGTCCTTTCCTGTCGTCCTCCCTCCCTCTCCCCCCTCCCCCCCTCGCTCCTCGGCTCCTCGCTCTCTTGCCCGTTTCGGCCCCTTGCCTGGCCCGCGTTTTTTTGTCGGCCCGTCCCGGTGTCCGAATAAGAGCCGCGGCGCCCCGCGCTGCCACGTTGGCGAATAGCCCGGCGTGGGGTTTTAGACTTCGTGTAAACATCTCGGTTGCTCAGGATGCTTTACCGCGTGTGTGCGTGTGTGTGTGTGTGTGTGTGTGTGTGTGTGTGTGTGTATGTGTGTGCGTGCGTGCGTGCGTGCGTGCGTGCGTGCGTGCGTGTGTGTGTGTTTGCGTGAACGCTGGGATCACTTAACCTGGGAGCGCAGAGCCCAAGGGAAGGGGCGGGCTCGCCCAGAAATGGTCCCTAGACAGGTCGTGGTTGACTTCCTGCGCTCCCTACCGGCACACGAGCGGCAACCGGCTGGCACGTGCGCCCCACCAGTCTCGGTTGGCCCGACTGGCCAGCGCAAATCAGCCGACGACGCCGACTCGGCCGGACACCGGGCTGGCCCAGAGGGCGCCTCCGAGAAGCAGCTCGGGGCCCCTACCGAACGGCTGGAGGGCCAGAGCAGGAACGTGTGGAGAGCTGTGGTGGCTTGACGCGAGCTCCCTGGGCGATCTCCCCGCCGAAGGCAAGTCGGGAATTGCGATGCAGTCACCTCCGCCGGCCGGTCACGCAACGGACTCCCATCGATCCGTCGCATTGCGCGCATGCCGACCTGTCGGCTCAGGTGCTATGCCCCTCCCCCCTCTGCCCTGGTGCTGTTTCACTATCCTTGTCCCCGCCACCTGGCTTTAAGCCTTTGCCGCTCTGTGTTCTGCCGGAGGTGGCGCGGCGTTCCCGCCGCGCCCGACGGCTCTCTCCTCCGAGGTGGGTTGTCGGTCCCCTCCTGCCCCTCCTTCTGGGTCGTCCCCACCGCGGGGGGTTGAGCCTCCTTTGCGTGCGTGCCTGGCGATCGCGGACGGCGTGGTGCGCCTTTTTTTTTGTTTTCTTTCTTTCTCTTTTTTTTTTTTGGTTCTTTCTCTCTCTCTCTCTCTTTCTCTCTCCTTTTCGAACTCTCCTTTCGTCCCGGCGAGTATTCATCGCGGCGCCAGCCCACGTTTCACGTATCTTTTTTTTACCACATTCCTCTTGACGGGAAAATGGCGCGTTGTCGCAGCATTTGACCAACTCTTTCAACCATGCAGGCGGGTGACAGGGGCAGTTGGGGCAGGTGGCGGGATGAGTGGAAGGCGGTACTTGTCACCCGGGTGTGCGCGGCACCTAAATCAACTCTCGCAGTGATGGGAAGGGCGCCGGGTGTGCGCGGCAGAGTGACCCTTCGCCAGAGTGACCTCTGGTGCTGGCCCAAAGGGGGGCGGGTGAGTTTTCTTGTGGAATGCTCTTTACCTGGCGTCGGCACCCGCCTCACGCGATTACGCTCACATCTGAGCGCGCCAGGTTTGGGCCCACCCCTTGCAATCAACAGCAACGCATACGCGTCGCATCCTACCGCTTGCATTGGCTACCCGAGGGGGGGCCGGTCGACTAGACGGCGCGTTTTCCGGCCCAGGACCAGTAACGAATCCCAGCCCAAATCCCAAAACGTTTGGCTTGAATATATTTGGATATGTTTGGGTATGTTAGAATATCTTTGAATGTGTTTGAACCTGTATTTTTTCGAAGCAATGGCGATCTTTATTATAATAAGTTATCCAAAGGTATTCAAACATATTCCAGGCTCTCGGAAGGGCGCCGGTTTTGGCCATGACGTCGGGCTTGGTTAGACGTCTTCTCGATGCAGCTTTGCAGTGCCAGACCTCATCGCGGTGGCCCCCGGCAGCGTCTGCTTTCGCAGCGCCTTCGAAGTGCCATTCGGGGCGCTCAGATTCAATCGGCGGAACTCCGCGGCTGCCCGCTGGCCCAACACAGACTTTCGAGTGACGCCCCGCCGAGCATTGATGCGGGGCGGCAACGCTGGCTTGCGCGATTGCGCTGGTGGGCCCCCGCGGGCGCCCGTGAGTCCGCGCGCCAAAGGTCACTCGAGCCTAGGGTCACTCCTGCCTGAATTTGAACGAACACTCGCAGTACAGTCGGGGCCCTAAAGAAGGAACCCTTTGCGTTGGGGAGGGGCTCCGCGTTCCTTAAGTGTTTCACAGCTTGCCTCAGGTTTCCCTTATGTTTTCGATCGGAAGTCGAAGCTTAACTTCTGGAGAACAGGGGCCTCGTTCCTTATTTAGTGTTCCTTCGGTCAACGCCCCGACTGTACCCAACGTCCTCCTCCTCCGTACCCGCCCCTGCTTCCGCCAGCTCCTGCCTTCGGCCCCGTGGCGCTCTGCCTCCTGGCGGTGGCCGTGCGGCCTGCCCGCCGCCTCCGGCGGCGCTCCCCTCCGCGGTGCTTCGTCAGTCCCCTCCTCCTCCTCCTCCTCCTCCTCCTCCTCCTCCTCCTCCTCCTCGCGGGTCGCGGGGCTCGCCTCGGTCGCCGCCGTCGTCGGTCGCGGGTTCGGCCGCGCCGTGGGGCCCCCCGCCGGCGCCTTTCCGAGAGCTCCCCTGATGCCTCTGCTCCCGCTTGCCCTTTCTTCCCCCCCGCCCCCTGCTCCTTCCAGGTCGTCCCCGACGCGGGGGGGGGGGTGGCTGCTGTGCCGTGTCCTCGTAGGCACGCGCGCTCGCGCGTCTCCCCGGGCCGTTTTTATACGGCCCCGCTCGAAGAATTCTCTCTTTTCCCCAGTTTTGTCAGTGGCGGTTTTGGCCAAGCAGGGTGCCTGGCCTGCGGTGTTGCGTCTGCTGTCGGAGGTGGCGCGGTGTTCCCGCTACTCCGGCTGCGCTCCCCTCCGCGGTGGTTCGTCGGTCCTCTCCTCCTCCTCGTGTTCCCCCGTCCTCCCCTGCTTCCGTGTCGACCCCGCCGCGGGGGGGTTAGCCTCTTCCGCGTGCTCGCCCGACGGTCGCGGTTGGACGTTACCCCCTTTTTTTCCTCTCCCTGCTTCTCCTTTTCTTTTTCTTCCTCTACGGGACGTCCTTGGTCGAGTCGGTGACGACCGAGACCGCGGTGCGTACAGCGCGCTTCGCGCTATTACCCGTGCTGCTCGGGTTACGGTCGGCATTCAGTTTATTGCTGCATGTGTATCCTACCAATCATTGGTCGGCGCTACTGCAGCCGGTTGGACCAGCCCGGACGCGTCATTGACACTGGCCTCTCTTGGTGTTGCGGCTACCTGCCAAGGATTTTACGGCATAGCTTCTTTAGGTTGGTTTCGGTTCCGCATGCGCATCACGTGTCGCGTGTCTCGGCACCACCAATCCATGCAGCTATCTTTATTTCGGGGTGTTGCCATGTCCATGTGCGTTGTTGGTCCGTAGGTCTGCACCATACGAATCTGCTTCGCAGGACCTTTTGAGCTCGGCGTTGTACCTCACCAGTCGGTTGGGATGGCAGCAGTTACAGGTTCTTTTGCCCTTCACTGCCTAACACAGTGTCGGTGATCCCGTGGTCGCCAATTCGCACCATATTGCTCGCGTTTCATGTTAGTTCGGGTTGAGTTGTGTCCTCGGTTTTCTGGCCGCTGCACGTTTCGTTTGGATTTGCAGCTCCTCCTTCACACCAGCTTCCGCTGCATTGACACTGTGCGCGGTTTGTACAGTATGCCTACGACAACGTTCGATCGCAATTCGCACTTGCATCTGCTGCTCGCGCCTGAGGATCCTTTGCGCCGCCGGCTTACGAATGTTTGCTTGTGTGTGTGTTTGTGTGTGTGTGTGTGTGTTTGTTTGTCTATTTGTCTGTTTGTTTGTTTGTTTGTTTGTTTGTTTGTTTATTTGTTTGTTTGTTTGTGTGCGTGTGCGTGTGTGTGTGTGTGTGTGTGTGTGTGTGTGAGAGAGAGGTGTTTTGGACCAGCGGGTGGATATAGTGGTCCTTCCTCCGCAGGATATGCCTACGAAGGAAGACGGTGCGTTCAAAGACAAGCCTACGGCCTGCCTCGCCTGCAAGTACGCGGCCACCGGGTCCTGCGCGATGTACAAGACCTGCATCTGCTACGCCACGAACTCCTTCTTCGAGGTGATGGGCGTGCCGAGCCCGACGGACACGAGCAACTGGCACTGGGCGTGCGGCAACGAGGGCGGGGACAAGTACGAGCTGTGCCACTCGGTCAACGAGCACTACGAGGACAATTTCGGCGACAAGATCGACCCCAACAATCCCAAGTGCCCGTGAGCGTGCGGGGACCGGTGGCAGCCTTCGCTCTCTCAAGCTGGTGGCGGCCCGTCCCTGGAGAAGTGTCCTACAGCTCCGCCTCCAGCCCGTCCTCGGCGTCGCCAAAGTCCTGCACCTCGCCCGTCCAGTCTGCCTCCTCTTACTCCTCCTCCTCCTCCTCCTCCTCCTCCTCCTCCTCCTCCTCCTCCTCCTCCTCCTCCTCCTCCTCCTCCTCCCCCCGCAGTTCCCTGTTCGTGCTCCTTGCTTCTGCTTCCCGCTGCAATCTGGGCCCAATGGCGCCACGACTGCACATCGCGCAGGAGGTCCCATTGTCTGCCCCGCAGCAAACGTAGCGTCAAAGCCTCCCCTCTTGCGCCATGGCGTCTTTGTGTGCGACTGCCATCTCGCTGCTGGTTCTGGGGATGCTGCCAGCGGCGTCGTCGGAGGCCTCCCTCCGCGTGCACGCTGCCATGGGCAAGGAGGAGCCGCACCCCCCGCCCGAGCCGACGGTGCCGGAGACCCAGGGCTTACAACGTACCGCCGCCCACACCTTCTTATTCTTCCAGCTCCCCGTTCTCTGCAGTTTTCCTCCACATGAGTTTGCATGTTTGTGTTTGTGGGGAGGATACGGTACATTCACAACATTTTGAATCACTTGGCGCTTGCCACGGTGGGCGTCACTCCACCCCGCCCCCAGTTCAAAAGTGGTTACGGTCTGGGATCGCCGAAACAGCTTGGTGATGCAACATTTCGTCGACCGTCGGGGATATTGCCGCAGCTCCCTTCCCCCTTCCCGCCAATCTTAAACTGGGGGAAGAGGGGAATAATGTAGAAGTATGCGTGCAAGGACCAGCACAACGTGATGCAACATGTTGTCGATGTGCAATATGTGTGGATTGAGGAATTTGTTGAAGGCATGTCTGGTTGTAGTTCCCCACGTCCAAAGTGGGATTCTTGCTTCCTCTCGGCCCTGCCCCTGTGCAGTAACGCCCTACCCCTTTTTTCCACACATCCAGAGTGGGGCCAGGTTTTGCTCGAGACACCCTCAGACATGAATCTCCAGACCCCTCTCATCTTCTCTTTCTTGTGATAGTCGTCATCCTCAGTCTCACGCACATTGACACACACACACATGTAATCATCGACATCAACATCATTATCATCAGCATCATCATCATCACCATGATTATGATGATCATTCTCATCACCAGCATCGTTAGCATCACCATCATTATCCATCGCTAATCATTGCCATCATCATCACCACCAGCATCATCATCATCATCATCATCATCATCATCATCCCGAGTAGCCCCCCCCCACCTACACGCACACAGGCACGGACGCACGCACGCACACACAACCACAACCACAACCGCAACCACAACCACAAACACAAGCACAAACACAAGCAGAACCACAAACACACAACCACAGCCACAACCACAACCACAAGCACAACCACAACACACAATAACCACAACCACAAACACAAACACAACCACGCACACATTCACACGCACATTCGCACGCACATTCACAACCATTCACACACACATTCGCACACACCACACACACTCACACTCACACGCACACACCCACACACACCCACACACTCCCTCTGAAACAAATATCCCGATCTTGCAGAGTTCTCGAGCGGACGCCTTGACGGTGAGTGAATTGGAGAGAAGTTTCGAGCAGGAACCCCTCCCTGGGGGCTCCGCACTTCTTGTTACTCACCCGAGAACGTCATCCAGATCTTCTTTATGCCATCGCTTGTGGGCTCCCAGGCCCGAACCATGAGGGTCCCTGGCGGGAGCTTCGTCTGTGTGTGAGTTGCGATGGGGGCTCCGAGCGGGAGCACACCCCCCCCCACCATGGGGCCCGTCCTTTCTACTAGTTCGAGGGTGTCTTTCTGTTCCCGAAGCGGTCGTCACTTTTGGACTCCCGAGGCCTGCACCTTGGGGGAGTCTTGAGCGGGCGCCTCGCCCTGTGCGTGAGTTGCGGGGAGGTCTGCGTCCGTTCCTTCGGACTGAGCCTTCAGGTAGTCTCGGGCGGGAACCTCTCTGGTGATCAGGTTGCGATCGACGGCTAGCCTGGCCTTCGTCGGCGAGAGGCGCTGTGGCGTCTGCGCGGCTTGCTCCGCGCAGAGGAGGAGGAGCCGGAGGAGGCGGAGGAGGAGACAGGAGGCGGAGGGAGGGAGGGATTGAGGGAGGGAGCGAGGGAGGATGGCGAGGAGGCGAACACTTCTGTTGTGGATGATGATGGTGATGACGACGGTGATGCTGCTGATGACGACGATTATGGTGATGATGCTGGTAACGATGATGATGGTGATGCTGATGCTGATGATGGTGGTGATGAGTGATGATGGTGATGCTGATGATGGTGATTCTGATGGTGGTTGCGATGGTGATGATGGTGGTGGTGATGGTGATGGTGATGGTGGTGATGCTGATGCTGATGCTGATGCTGATGCTGATGCTGATGATGATTTTGGTGATCCTTATGATGACGATGCCGATGACGATGCTGATGATGCTGCTGGTGATGATGATCATGCTGATGATGGTGATGACGGTGGTGATGATGATGCTGATGATGATTTGAGGGAGTTTCTGTGGAACTCACGTCATCCTCACCCCCGGCGCGAAGAGCGCGAGCCCAGAGCGGCCTCCAGCACCGTTTCCGGACGGATCCGCTGGATCCGCTGGATCCGGTGACGAATCCCAAACCGGCGCCCTCGCCTGAGACATCCTCACAAAACGGGCCCCGGGGGGGATGCCCAGAGGAGCCCAGAGCGGCCTCCGGCACCGTTTCCGGACGGATCCGCTGGATCCGCTGGATCCGGTGACGAATCCCAAACCGGCGCCCTCGCCTGAGACATCCTCACAAAACGGGCCCCGGGGGGGATGCCCAGAGGAGCCCAGAGCGGCCTCCGGCACCGTTTCCGGACGGATCCGCTGGATCCGCTGGATCCGGTGACGAATCCCAAACCGGCGCCCTCGCCTGAGACATCCTCACAAAACGGGCCCCGGGGGGGATGCCCAGAGGAGCCCAGAGCGGCCTCCGGCACCGTTTCCGGACGGATCCGCTGGATCCGCTGGATCCGGTGACGAATCCCAAACCGGCGCCCTCGCCTGAGACATCCTCACAAAACGGGCCCCGGGGGGGATGCCCAGAGGAGCCCAGAGCGGCCTCCGGCACCGTTTCCGGACGGATCCGCTGGATCCGCTGGATCCGGTGACGAATCCCAAACCGGCGCCCTCGCCTGAGACATCCTCACAAAACGGGCCCCGGGGGGGATGCCCAGAGGAGCCCAGAGCGGCCTCCGGCACCGTTTCCGGACGGATCCGCTGGATCCGCTGGATCCGGTGACGAATCCCAAACCGGCGCCCTCGCCTGAGACATCCTCACAAAACGGGCCCCGGGGGGGATGCCCAGAGGAGCCCAGAGCGGCCTCCGGCACCGTTTCCGGACGGATCCGCTGGATCCGCTGGATCCGGTGACGAATCCCAAACCGGCGCCCTCGCCTGAGACATCCTCACAAAACGGGCCCCGGGGGGGATGCCCAGAGGAGCCCAGAGCGGCCTCCGGCACCGTTTCCGGATCCGCTGGATCCGCTGGATCCGGTGACGAATCCCAAACCGGCGCCCTCGCCTGAGACATCCTCACAAAACGGGCCCCGGGGGGGATGCCCAGAGGAGCCCAGAGCGGCCTCCGGCACCGTTTCCGGACGGATCCGCTGGATCCGCTGGATCCGGTGACGAATCCCAAACCGGCGCCCTCGCCTGAGACATCCTCACAAAACGGGCCCCGGGGGGGATGCCCAGAGGAGCCCAGAGCGGCCTCCGGCACCGTTTCCGGACGGATCCGCTGGATCCGCTGGATCCGGTGACGAATCCCAAACCGGCGCCCTCGCCTGAGACATCCTCACAAAACGGGCCCCGGGGGGGATGCCCAGAGGAGCCCAGAGCGGCCTCCGGCACCGTTTCCGGACGGACGACCTGACTGCATAACACGCCTGGATATGCCGACGGGGGCGAAGGAGGAGGAGGAGGAGGAGGAGGAGGAGGAGGAGGAGGAGGAGGAGGAGGAGGAGGAGGAGGAGGAGGAGGAGGAGGAGGGGGAGGGGGCAGGCGAGGGAGCCCCGGCCCTGGGGGAGGGGCCCTGAGGGAGCCCTGATGGGCTTCCGGCACCATGGAGAGGTCCTGTGGGGCGGCCGCCCCTTCTTCTCTCGGTCGTTTCCCTCTCGCCCAGAAGCGCGCGCCCCTTCTTCTATATATACAGAAACTCCCGATCAACCGCAGAGCGGCGGATGTTAATGCTGATGACGCCGATGATGACGATAATGCTGCTGATGATGCTGCTGCTGATGATGCTGATACTGATGATGATGATGCTGATGCTGATGCTGATGCTGATGATGATATCGGTGATGGTAATGACGATGATGATGCTGATGATGATGAGGCTGCTGTTGATGCTGATGGTCATGCTGATGCTGGTGGTGGTGGTGATGATGCTGATGTTGATGAGGATGGCGATGACGATGATGACGATGCTGCTGCTGATGATGCTGATGATGGTGATGATGCTGATGATGACGATGATGATGATGATGATGATGATGATGATGATGATGATGATGATGATGATGATGATACTACTGACAATGATTCTGATGCTGACGATGATGCTGATGATGATGCTGCTGCTGCTGATGCTGATGTTGATGCTGATGCTGATGCTGGTGCTGATGCTGCTGGTGATGATGAGGAGGAAGAGGAGGAGGAGGAGCAGGAGGAGAGCGAGGAGGAGGAGGAGGAGGAGGAGGAGGAGGAAGGGAGAGGAGGAGGATGAGGCGAAGGATGTATGCAAGATGAGGTGGATTATGATGATGCTGCGGATGAAGATGATGGTGCTGTTGATGATGACGGCTTTGGTGGTGGTGGTGGTGGTGGGGATGGTGGTGTTGTTCGGTGGTGGTGGCCGTGATGCTGGTGACGGTAAGTGTGGTGAGCCTGATAGAGGGTACGGTGATGATGATGTTAGTGATCATCACAACGATCCTGGTGGCATCGATGATGGGGATGACGACGGTGGTGGTGATGATGCTCATGCTGGCGATACTGGTGATGATGGTGATGGTGATGGTGATGGCGGTGATGATGATGATGATGATGATGATGATGATGATGATGATGATGATGATGATGATGATGATGATGATGATGATGTTGATACTGATGCTGAGGATGATGAGGATTAGGATGAGGATGATGCTGCTGCTGATGATGATGATGCTGCGGATGAAGATGATGATGGTGCTGGTGCAGATGCTGATGCTGATGCTGATGCTGATGCTGCTGCTGATGATGATGCTGGTGATGATGATGATGGTGATAATGATGATGATGATGATGATGATGATGATGCTGATGACGATGATGATGATGATGATGATGATGATACTGATGATGATGATGATGATGATGATGATGAGGATGTTGCTGCTGCTGATGATGACGATACTGATGATAATGATGATGATGCTGATGCTGATGCTGATGATGATGATGATGATGATGATGATGATGATGATGATGATGATGAGGAGGAGGAGGAGGAGGAGGAGGAGGAGGAGGAGGAGGAGGAGGAGGAGGAGGAGGAGGAGGAAGCAGAGGCAGCATGAGGATGAGGCAGAATGGGGAAGTAGGGTGAACAGGCACAGGAGAGAGGAGGAGGAGGAGGAGGAGGAGGAGGAGGAGAAGAAAAAGGAGGCAGGAGGAGGATGAGGAGGAGGAGGAGGAGGAGGCTGAGGAGGCAGGAGGAGACGGAAGCAGCAGGAGAAGGAGGAGGAGGAGGAGGAGGAGGAGGAGGAGGAGGAGGAGGAGGAGGAGGAGGAGGAGGAGGAGGAAGAGGGGGCAGGAGGAGGAGGATGTGGATGCAAGAGCAGGAAGGGGTTGGTGGTGGTCACTGCGTAAGGGAAACAAGCCCCGAACAAAGCAATGCGCAACACGACCGCGCCGACGCCAACGAAGACGACGGCGGAGACGAGACGCGCAGACGATCCGCACTGAAGCACGGATTTGGGAAAGGGGCCACCCTGCAGGCTCGCTTAAACAGCACATCATTGAGCGGCGCTGTAGCTTCACCTCAGAAGCCCCCCCTCCTAGAGCATCAGCCAGACAAATCAGGTTTGCACCTCGATGGCTTGCTGGACTCTGGGCGCACGTCGGTGCTGCCACTGCAGCAGGCACCCCGTCGTCAGGGCCACCGGCTCGGGCGACGGCGACAGCGACAGTAACAGTGACCGACGCGTCCCAGAGCCAAGACGCCGTAAGCGCGGCAGCTCAGACTGCTGGGAAGACAGACGGACGGATGGACGGACGGCCAGGCGGCGTGCAACGCTTGGCATGCCAAGTGGGTGGTCGCGGCATACCAGAAACAAGTCTCGAGCAGAACAACATGCACCATGACCACGACAACGCCCACGAGAACGACGGAGGTGAGGTGCGCAGACGATCCGAACCAGAGCACGGATTGAGAGGAGGAGGAGGCAGGAGGAAAGGAGGCAGGAGGAGGCATGATGAGGCAGGGCTAGGAGGCAGGAGTAGGATGAGGAGAAGGCAGGATGACGAGAAGGCAGGAGCGGGAGGAGGCAGGATGAGGAGAAGGAGGAGGAGGAGGAGGCGGAGGAGGAGGAGGAGGAGGAGGAGGAGGAGGAGGAGGAGGCAGGAGGAGGGGCGGGAGGAGAAGGACGCTGGAGGAGGAGGAGGAGGAGGAGGAGGAGGAGGAGGAGGAGGAGGAGGAGGAGGAGGAGGGGCAGGATGATAGGCAGGATAAGGAGAGGAGGAGGAGGAGGGAGGAGGAGCAGGTTGCAGTGAGGAGGAGGAGGAGGAGGAGGAGGAGGAGGAGGAGGAGGAGGAGGAGGAGGAGGAGGAGGAGGAGGAGGTGGAGGAGGAGGAGGAGGAGGACGAGGACGAGGACGAGAAGGAGGCAGGAGCAGGATAAGGCAGGTTGACGAGGCTGGAGGGTGAGGCTTGAGATGGAGGCAGGATGAGGAGGAGGAGGAGGAGGAGGAGGAGGAGGAGGAGGAGGAGGAGGAGGAGGAGGGAGGCATGATGATGAGTCGGAGGAGGCGGAGGATGTGGGAGGCAGGCAGTCGCACTCCACAGCCAGCATCATCACGCACAGGGGATTCTCATGCGGTGCCCTACCGTCGGAGCATTCTGTTTCCCCTCTGCAGGATATGCCAAAGAAGGAAGACGACGGGGCGTTCAAAGACAAGTCTACGGCCTGCCTCGCCTGCAAGTACGCGGCCACCGGGTCCTGCGCGATGTACAAGACCTGCATCTGCTACGCCACGAACTCCTTCTTCGAGGTCATGGGCGTGCCGAGCCCGACGGACACGAGCAACTGGCACTGGGCGTGCGGCAACGAGGGCGGGGACAAGTACGAGCTGTGCCACTCGGTCAACGAGCACTACGAGGACAACTTCGGCGACAAGATCGACCCGAACAAGCCCAAGTGCCCGTGAGCGTCTCCCGTCCCCCTCGTCTCCGGCCCCTCCTCAGCTCTACTTTTTCGATTATCGCCTGGTACACCCCCGCGCACTGCATATCGTCGTCGTCCTCCGCGTCCGCTGCCGCCCCCTCTCTGCTCCTGGGCGAGAGCTGGGTACACATGTCATCGCATGCCTTTCCAACGCGTAGCCTTCGTGTGGACGGGTACTCCGGCCCTCTCCAGGCGAACGCAACGAGTTGCCTCCGCATGCTCCGCATGTGCGTCCATACGGGCATTTGCAGCTTCCTAGCATCTCCCTTTCCTCCTCCTCCACCTTCTTCTCCTCCTGTCTCCCCCACATCTCTCTCCTTTCTACTCCTGGTTCCGCCTCCTCGTCCTCCTCTTCCTCCTCCTCCTTCCCCAGAAACTGCAGGAGCCTCCGAAAACTTTTCGGAGCTTCCGAACACTCAGGGGCATCTCGAGGACATCTCCGAGCTTCCTCGAACACATGCGGAAGAGTCGCAGAGTCTTCCTCCTCCTCCTCCTCCTCCGCCACCTCCTCCTCCTCCTCCCTCCTTTTTTCCATGTCCTTCTGCGAAGAGAAGCGGCTTTAACAGAAACAGTCGGAGCTTCGCGCGGACTGCTTGGATCGGCGCTGGACCCCCCACCCTGTGGCGCGGAGCGCGCCGGGAAAGCGCTGGAGGCGCGCCAGTGTGGTCCAGCGCCGATCCAGGAAATCCGCGCGGACCTCTGATCGTTTATGCGGATGTAGCTCATTCTTCCTCTGTTCTCCCTTCCTTCTTCATCTCCATCCCTCCTCCCTCCTTTCTTCCTCCCTCCTCCCTACCTCCTCCTCCCTCCCTCCTTCCTCCCCGGATCTCCTCCCTGGGTAAGGCCTGCGCAAATGTTCTTCGGCAGGCGGCGTTCGGGCAGCTAGGACGCTTCCCTCCATCGGTCGTTTTTGTTCCTCCTCCCTCCTTTCTGCCCTCCTCCTCCCTCCTTGTCGCCCCCCCTCGACTCCCTTGAGCCCGCCGCCCGTCCCTCCGCGCTCCCATCCCCCCCCCCCCCTGCGCAGGGGAGGAGGAGGAGGAGGAGGAGGAGGAGGAGGAGGAGGAGGAGGAGGAGGAGGAGGAGGAGGAGAGAGGAACAGGAGGAGGAACAGGAGGAGGAGGAGGAGGAGGAGGAGGAGGAGGAGGAGGAGGAGGAGGAGGAGGAGGAGGAGAAGGAGGAGGAGGAGGGAGGAGGAGGAGGAGGAGGAGGAGGGAGGAGGAGGAGGAGGAGGCGCGCTCGGGCCGGCCTGCGGCCGGGCACGCCCGTGTCGGGGAGGCTGCTGGGCAGGCGTCGCGACGTCACGCCAGCCCGTCGACAACCGGAACCGGACATGAGAGAGTACAGCCGAATTCGGGAGCCTCGAGACGGGGGTCAATGCAAACGGGGGTCAGCCAGAGCGTCAGATCTTGCAGGATCCTGCAGAGCCAGGCTCCCATTGACCCGGGTTTGGGTGCAGGATCCTGCAGGATCTTGCAGGATCCTTCGCATTGACCCGGGTTTGGGTGCAGGGTCTTGCAGGATCTTGCAGGATTCTGCAAGGCCTGGCTGACCCGGGTCTGGATTGACCCGGGTCAGAAGATCCCCGACGAATAGAGCGCATTTGAGCGTAGCCGAGTTTCGCTGTTTCATGCCATACAGCAGCGACCAATTCACGGCGTCCTATCAAGCACGGCATGCGTCCCGACGGAAGATTGGCCACTAAGTCTGAGCACAGGAACAACCCGACGCAACAATGACCGATTCGACGACGTATCAAGCGTGACCGACCGCATCAAACGACTAATGTTTCGACGTCATGCCAGCCCGTCGAGAGAGTGACAGAACAGAACAGACCATGATACAACAGACGATAACGTAATCGAACTATCACAAAATATAACACGATCATGCAATACACCAGCGACCGTTTGACGGCATACTGTCATACAATACAGCAGCGACAGATTGACGGTTTCTGATCAAGCTCGCCATGCGTGCCGTCGTCAGAACGGCCACAGGAACAAGCAGGTGCAGCAACGACCGATCAGACGACGCATCCCAATGCGCAGGAGGAGGAGGAGGAGGAGGGGGACCATCCAGGACGAGGAGGAGGAGGTGGTGGAGGAGGAGGAGGAGGACGAGGATGAGGAGGAGGACCAGTGTAAACACAAGAGGCATCAAAGATGTTGGAATACACCCTCCCTTCAAGCTCCCTCTTCATAGGCCCGTACAACGGTTCATTTTACGGAGGGAACACGACACTTGTTTGAAGACCTGGAAGCATGCCAAGACATCGCTCGCGGGATTCCAACGCCACGGATCAACCTGACTGTTGCTTCTTGACGACCCTGAATCGTGCCAGAGCGCCGTTCTGGGAACTGAACACCGCGGACCAACACAATTTGTGCATCCCCATAAGCCTGAGTCCTTGCATAATGATACCTTAGAAAAACCCCGATCATAATATTGTGAGGGCTACAGGGCTACAGGGCTATAAAGGCTATGGGGTTATAAGGCTATAGGGCTCTATGGCTATCGGGCTATAAGGGCTATAGGGCTATAAGGCTGTAGGGTTACAGGGCTATAGGTCTATAGGGTTATAGGGCTATCGGGCTATGATGACTATAGGGCTATCAGGCTATAGGGCTATAGGGCTATAGGGCTATAGGGCCATAGGGCTGTAGGGCTATAGGACTATTAGGGCTATAGGGCTATGGGCTATAGGGCTATAGGGCTATCCTCCTCTCCCTCCCCCCCCGACGCTTACACATGATAAAGACTAGTCTCCTCTCTGCTCTGACCCTGTCTGGAAGATTCCCTGCCCTCTCCGTGTCCTGTTTTTCAACATGATGTCAAGCGCTGATCTTTCTGTTTTTTGGTGTACTTTCGATCGTGCTTGGTCCTTTTACACGGTGCTCCCGCTCCAGCGGTGGCTTGGTTTTCGCGCTTTTAGTCCTTACAGTCGTGTTCCCGCTGCAACGCTGGTCTCGTTTCCGCGTTTTCAGTCCTTCCGAACGGTACTCCCGCTGCAGAGTTGGCTTCATTTCCGCGTTTTGTGTTCGGTCCTTGTGAATGGTGCTCCCGCTGCAGCACCGGCTTCATCTCCACATTGTCGGTCCTGAAGCATTGATTTCTTGCCTTCCCATTCATGCAGCCATGGTGTGCCATTCCAAGCTATGTCATGTACCGTTTTGAATCGAGTCCGTGCTTTGCTCTCCAATGCTCTCCTCTGCAGCACTGGGTTACGCAGCGCCATGCCATACAACGGCATGTCGTGCAATCCTACGTACTGTACCGCTATGCGATGCCATGTCTTGCGCTGCAGTGTTGTGATATGCAATCCTTGACTACGCATTGATAAGCCATGTTCTGCATCGCGTTCCGTTGAGCATCGCTGTCCTCTTCTGCACCCGACTGCGAATAGAGAGGGGCTCGACGCAACGTTAAGGGATGGGAGGGAGGGTTAGGACGTCAGAGCGCAACCAGATTGTCCTCCTCCTGCCTCACTCCCTTCTTCGTCATCTTCAACTTACTCCTCCCCTTTCACCCTCCTCCTCCTCCTCCTCCCTCCTCCTCAGTCTCCACCTCCTCCCTTCCTCCTCTCTCCTCTCCCTCTCTCATCCTCCTCCCTCCGTCCCTCCTCCCTACTCCCTCCTCCTACGCCCCTCCTCCCTCCTCCCTCCTCCCTCCTTTCCGTGGCCCCGTTTGGACCTTCAGGATGTTGAATGGTTGGCCCCTGAATCGAGCGTCTCTGGCCGCCAGGATGGTCTAGCCCACACCTGGGTCCAGCTTAGGCAGTCGTGGCAGTGCTCTGTTTGCCTGAGGGGTTCTCGGCTCCCGCAGCCACCCGCCGCCAAGTGCCCAGGTGCCGACGGCTTGCGAGGCCTCAAGGCGGAAGACTTGTCCTACCTAGGTCACACCATTGCTGCGTACGATTGCTCGGATGGCTCTTTTGTAGCCGTGTGCACTCGTTGCAAGCTGTATTCGACGGGCGGCAGAGTGCGAGGACTGCGCGAGCGCTGTCCCACGGAACCCGTGAATTTGTCTGACCACTCCATGCGCGGGCGCAGACACTGCTGGAATCGTATTGTCAGGGGTCTCCATCCCAAGGAGGATGACATCACCCTGCAGTATGTGGACCTGACGGCCGAAGGCATTCTGGATACCTCTCCTCCCGTCGAGCCTCCTCCCGAGCCTCCCCCCCTCTCAGGAGCAGGCCGAAAGCCCAGGTCAGGTGCTGCTCAGAGTAGCAGCCGAGATGGCACGTTACCGCACCGCTGCGCGGCCTGCGCAGGTGCTGTACGAGCCAGCGTCTCAGTCGAGCGGCAGCGGCCGAACGGCCGCCAACGCCTGCGTGAAGGCACCCCCGTCCGCAGCTGGAGCTGCGGCGGGCGCCTCTCTCTCGTCCCCACATTGCGCTGGACCAAGTTTATCGGAATCTACGGTGGTCAGGACTTCGCGTAGCAGCGCGAATCTCTCTCGTAGTAGCGGTTCTTCCAGGCTTCCTGTCCAGTCCCCGTTGCCTGGAGCGGGGCTTTCGACAGCCAGGCAGCTTGTGCAGCCCCTCGGCCTGGTGAGGGGCATCTTGAACCTGGCAGCTTCGAGACGGAGGACGAACTGGCTCGTCTTGTCCTCGGAGCCTTCGAGGAGGAGGAGGAGGAGGAGGGGAGGAGGAGGAGGAGGAGGAGGAGGAGGAGGAGGAGGAGGAGGAGGAGGAGGAGGAGGAGGAGGAGGAGGTGGTCGTCAGGTCGTCGTCGGTGGATGGCGGAGGAGGTCCTGTCTCTATCTCGGCGAGGAGCCCCTGCCTCCGCAGCGAGACTGCCGTCTCGCCCGAGGCTGGGGCCCTGAGTGCCGTGCGTGCCGCCCTCCTTCAAGAGGAGGACGACGCTCCTCTTTGCCAGCCTCCTGTACAGCGCGAAGACGACTCTTCCTGACAGGCGCCTGGGGCAGAGACGGCTGGCCACGCGGCATCCTCCCTGTGTGGGAGATGTCGGGTGGCCTCCTGCCTTTCCCTCGTTTTCGGCGCCCGTCAGTTTCGGACTCGCTTCCCTTTTTCTTGTTTTCTCGCCGCTCAGCTCTGCTGATGCGGCCGGGCGCTGCTGTCGAGGCTCCGCCCGTCGCAGCGAGGCGAGCTGGCCGCGTCCCGTGCCAGCCGCTGCGGTCGACCCTGACCTGTACAGGGGTCGACCCGTTCAACGCACTTCCCTCCACCTGTGCAGTCGTGG